TTCTGAAAATACTCAAATTTATTCTGAAAATTCTCAAATTTATTCTGAAAATTCTGAAAATACTCAAATTTATTCTGAAAATTCTGAAAATACTCGAATTTATTCTGAAAGTTCTGAAAACTCTCAAATTTATTCTGAGAATTCTAAAAATTCTCAAATCTATTCTAAAAATTCTGAAAATACTCAAATTTATTCTGAAAATTCTCAAATTTATTCTGAAAGTACTCAAATTTATTCTCAAAGTTCTCGAATTGATCTCAAATTTACTTTAAATTTATTTCAAATTTATTCTCAAATTTATTCTCAAATTGCGAGCGTTCGAAAGCGGTGGAATCGTGGATTAACGATCGCTGTATCGCGTAGCGATCGCAAAAAACCGAGTAGCCATGGTAAGTGAATGGGCGGCCTAACCGCATCGCGTTAAGGCAATTCGCCTGACACGTGACAAACATTTCTGTCTTGTCTTTGAAATACTAGTAGCCATTATTAGCTAGGATGTCGGCTTAACCAGTTACACGAACACATGTCGGGCTTTTTTATGACGGGGAACGTTCTAACGTGGACAAAATAGTCTTCGGGTTTCGCATGCTCGTTTCTTTCAAGTCCTTACGTAATATCATGAACTCATTTGTTTGCTCATTCAGCCTGTTAAAACACTTCTTTGATCAATTTTTCGGTCGACCTTCTTTATACTTAATGTAGTCGAATCGAAATGAAGACGTCGCGTAAACTGCGCCAGTGTGGGCCGAGTCGAACAGAAAACGCACGCGGAATTTTTTTAAATCGAGATCTCGATTTTCCGTTGCTCCTATTTTGCATTATTCGACGATAAACATTAAATAAGAACGAATAAAGAAATGAATAAATAAATGAATGAATAAGTAAATGTATAAAGATATGAATAAATAAATGAATGAATAAGTAAATATATACATAAAGAAATGAATAAATAAATAAAGAAGTGAATAAACAAATGCATAAATAAATGAATAAATATATAAAGGAATGAATAAATAAATAAATATATAAACATATGAATAAATAAATAAACAAATGAATAAATAAACCAACTAATTCACGATTTTGGATAATCTGTACGATTTATCTGTGACAATCGAATACAAATAATTGGACGTTGCTATTTTTAGAAGAAAAAAAAATGTTAGAACGTTCGAACAATTTTCGGTATTTTCCGTACAATTAGCGTTTTTCCTGAAACCGCGTCGCGCCTAATTTACAATATGTATACAAGCTACATTTATTTTCCCGTTCGTTGAATTATTGTGCCGATCGTATCGCGTTCGTTTTCCGTGCGTTACAAATGTGCCACAATTTAGTCATTTGCGAAATTGTTAGCGCTCTACATGACTCGCGCGTTGCTATCGGCGTTGTTTATGAAAATCGTTGTGCAAACGTAACGAACCATTGGAAATCGATATGTTCGCGACTGTAATTAAATTGGAAATTAAATATTGCACGGGAACTGGTTCACGATTTCATGGTGGATTAAACGAGCCATTTTTTTTTACCTTAACACTCTCTGTTATCCGACGTAATAAAATTCGATTGTGCGAATCAAATCGGTAAAATCGAGTCAAGATGATCTGCTATTTCACTGCGAATGTTCTAGGTTAATGGCATTTGCAAACGTGAAACGTGCATTGCGAGTCAATCATTTATCGACGATCAAAATAATTTATACATGTTTAATTATTTATTCATTTATTTATTTATTTATATATTTATTTATTCATTTATTGTTTATGCATTTCTTTATATATTTATTTATTCATTTATTTATTCATTTGTTTGTTTATTCATTCATTTATTCATTCATTTATTTGTTTATTTATTTATTTATTCATTTATTTATTCATTTATTTATTCATTCATTTATTCATTTATTTATTCATTCATTTATTCATTCATTTATTCCTTCATTTATTTGTTTATTTATTTATTTATGTGTTCATTTATTTATTCATTTATTTATTTATCCATTCATTTATTTCTTTATTTATTAATGCTTTAAACCAGGTTCCTTCTTACGTAATAATTTATACATATTTCTATTTTAATTAGAATATATTTGCAATTAATATATTTGCGACGTTAAAAATATACGCAAACGACGTATAAATGTTAATCGGCCGACTCGCGAAGATCTCCGCAATTCAGCTTCGCGGTAAACACATGCATACACAATGCTGCAGAAAAAGAAAATCGAGTCTGTTTGTTTTGGCAACCGCGAAATGGTTGAACTTGAATTCGCAATGAAGATGTTTGTGTATGCAAGCTGGCAACAATTAGACGTAATCCCTCTGCTTCGCTATAAATATATTACGGAATTTAGAGAGTTTTCTCGGAAAGAGTGTGTGGGTGTAATGTTTGAAAGCAAGAGACACACACTGATCGACGCTCTCTCTCTCTCTCTCTCTCTCTCTCTCTCTCTCTCTCTCTCTCTCTCTCTCTCCCTCTTCGCGTCTTTTGGCGAGTACCAGTTTCGTGTGAACAAGTTTCTCTTCGCACAAAAATCCGGACATTTAAACATCGTCCGTCGTAATATACGAAATCGTTGGATCGCGTTATACTCTGGTAAATGCATCTGGTATTTCGTAGATCCTCTAGATCATTTTGTTTCTTGCAGATCGTCACACAGAGTTGCTGTTGTAATTCGTCGCATCTCCACAGAGAAAAGTTTATTTCAAAGTTAATGTTATATATAATATTACATTATCGTGCTTGTCGAGGTTAATATAATTTATTATTTATTTATTATAACATTGACTGTAACAAGCGCATACGTCATATTATATATTATGCAGAGTGTCCCATAATTATGTCAACGCCCAGATTCCTGAGGTCATTTGAAGTAACTTTTTCCTTAGCGAAAATGTTCTACGAGCCTTCGTTTACGCGAGTTATTGATAAAAATACACTGACCAATGAGAGGCGAGCGCGGCTGGCGCAAGGCGGCCGAGCCAATCAGCGGAACTGGGTTTCGAGCGCTCGCTGGCTCGACCGCCTCGCGCCAACCGCGCTCGCTTCTCATTGGTCAAGCGTCTTTCGTTAATAACTCGCGAACGATGCCTCGGAGAAAATTTCTGTAAAGGAAAAAGTTACTTCAAATGACCTGACGAATCACTTCTTTTCGTATTTTAACGTAATTATGGAACGCTCTGTGTATAATATTGCATATATGCTTGTTACAATGTAATTAATGTAATTTATTATTTATTTATTAATAATTACAGCGTTAATGTAATTAACTTTGAAATAAACTTTCCTCTGAGAAAGAAAACTTCCTAAATATATATATAAATATATAAAATTATATATAAAATAAATATATATTAAATATTATATAAAATATATAAAATTATATATAAAATAAATCTGAGAAAGAAAACTTCCTAAATATATATATAAATATATAAAATTATATATAAAATAAATATATATTAAATATTATATAAAATATATAAAATAATATATAAAATTATATATAAAATAAATATATATTAAATATTATATAAAATATATATAAATACATAAAATAAACAAAAATAAAAGATAAATAAGCATGTTTGTTATTTTATCGATTAATTTAATCATTTCTCAGTCATCTTACATTATTATCGATAAAAATATTAATACTTACGAATGCCATGAATTTATGAAATTTTAATTTCATAAATAAATGTTCAACGAGGTTTTTCTCTATGGTCCGACGATTTTCGAAAATACGAGAAACATCGTCCGGGGCCGCGTAAGCGTCCGGTGACTTATGAACGGGAGTGTACGCGGGAAGAACGCGAACCAACCCCCGTACATCTCGGCGAGTGGAATTATTTTCGTGGTAACGCGCCGCCGTCGGTTGACTCACGCGTCGAGCACGTGAGGAGATTTACGCGCGTCGCAGGATATTGCGTCCGCGGAGCGCGCTTTTCTGCGCGAGAGAAAAAAAATCGGACGATAGCGTAACTCGATCCCGAAACAGGGACACCGTCGCCGCAGTCGCCGGCGGCGGCGGCGGCGGCCAGCGTTTCACCGAAATCGCAGGAATTTTTTCTCGCCGGCGACCGAATCGACGAGCCGGAACGCAAACGCGATTTCGCCGAGCGCGAAATCGATTCTGTAACCCGACACTTCGCGGAAATTCGTGTAACCAACGACGCACGCTCGCGCCAAAACTGTTCGCAACCCCGTGAAATCCCTGGACGAGTACGTAGTTGCTCGAACCGGGCAACCGACTTTGTCGAATGACTTTTCGTATCGGTGGTATTTTCGCGCGATGACACTTGTTGTTGTTAGCTTCGTTAACAGTGCCACAGAATTCTGAACCTTTTCTCTGAGAGGACAAGTTTTTTATTGCACAGTTTACCGCACGGCACTGCAAATTTTATTGCGCAGTCTGGTGGTTTAGTTGCGTATTTTATTTATTGCATTTTATTCTGTTCCACTTTAGTTAATTTTATTTCATTCGATTTTCTTGTTTCATTTTATCTATTTTATTCTGCTTTAGTTCGTTTTATTTCATTCGATTTTCTTGTTTCATTTTATCTATTTTATTCTGCTTTAGTTCAATTTATTTTGTTTTATTTTATTTTATTTCGTTTTGTTTTGTTTTATTTTATTTTATTTTATTTTATTTTTATTTTATATTATATTATTTTATTTTATTTTATTTTATTTTATTTTATTTTATTTTATTTTATTTTATTTTATTTTATTTTATTTTATTTTATTTTATTCATTTTATTCTACTTTAATTCATTTTATTTTATTTTATTTTCTCTTGTTTCATTTTATTTATTTTATTCTACTTTAGTTCATTTTATTTATTTTATTCTACTTTAGTTCATTTTATTTTATTTTATTGTCTTGTTTTATTTGTTTTCTTTTTTGTATGTTATGCAAGGTTCGTAAAGATATACCACATGTAATCCGTAAAGAAGCCGATAAAGTTAACGAAGTATTTCCGTTCCTTTTTGTTACAGCAATCCAAGGGCGGCGCGGAACATGGCGGAAAAACAACGCCGCGACAATCACAACACAAACATTACAGCAATGGGGAAGCTCGTACCTGCTGTCGCCGAGAGTCCGAGGAAGATGGACAAAATCTCCATCCTGAGGCTGGCTACAGCTTTCCTCAGGTCGAACTATAGTAAGTTGAGGTTCAATGTCAACATTTCTTAACTGCGACAAGCTTCTTACTCATTGGGCATGTATAGTCTTCAAATTTCAGACAGTTCTTTAAATTTCAGACAATATCTTTAAATTTCAGACAGTCTTTAAATTTCAGACAATCTTTAAATATCAGACAATCTTCAAATTTCAGACACTCTTTAAGTTTCAGACAATCTTTAAATTTCAGACACTCTTTAAGTTTCAGACAATCTTTAAATATCAGACAATCTTTAAATTTCTGACGGTCTTTAAATATCAGACAATCTTTAAATATCAGACAATCTTTAGGTATCAGATAATTTTTAAATTTCAGACAATCTTTAAATATCAGACAATTTTTAAATTTCAGACAATCTTTAAGTTTCAGACAATCTGTAAATATCAGACAATCTTTAAGTTTCAGACAATCTTTAAATTTCAGACACTCTTTCCATTTCAGACAGTTCTTCAAGCATGTATAGTTCTTAAAATTCAGACAATTTTTAAATTTCAGACAGTTTTTAATTTCAGACAATCTTTAAATTTCAGACAGTTTTTCGAGCATGCATAGTCCTTAAAATTCGGACAGTCTTTAAGTTTCAGACAGTTTCTAAATTTCAGACAGTCCTTTATGCATGTATAGTCCTTAAATTTCATACAGTCGATGCCACCACTTCATTTGCCAACCAAATTTTTCATCGGACTTGTCCACAATTAAAATCATTTAATTAGCTCTCACGTGTCTGTCTCCTCTCTGTTGCAGCGCTCGGACGCGGCACAATAGACTTTCTACCCCGTGAACTCGGTTGTCTGGACTTGGAAAAATATATCGTCGACGTGAGTACTCGTAAATCGATCCAGTCCTGTTATCGTTACATGTTGAACATGTTAAGAATCGTTTTTGTTAACCGTAACAGAACTTGATCGAAAGCGGGGGCTTCTTTATCGTGGTCACGACGACAGGGAAAATCGTTTACGTCAGCCGGCAAGTCCAGGAACACCTTGGCCACACTCAGGTAAATGTTGCAACAGATATTATTCTCGTTTACTCGCTTCATAGCTGAATGCGTCGCTGCTTCGCCAAACGTGAAATGTACATACGTACAGTGTGTCCCATAATTATGTTAATACCCGGAAGGAGATGATGCCTGAGGTGATTTGAAGTAACTTTTTCCTTAGCGAAAATGATCTACGAGGCTTCGTTTACGAGTTATTAACGAAAAACATTGACCAATCGGAGAGTGAGCGCGGCCGGCGCAACGCAGCATTGGCTACGAGGGCGGAGCACCGGCCGTCTAACGCAGCGGCAGTGGACGCGAGGGCGGAGCGTCAGCCGTACGCGATTTCTCATTGGCCACTGTTTTTCGTTAATAACTCGTAAACGGAGCCGTGGATTGAATTTTCGCTAAGGAAAAAGTTGCTTGAAATTACCTAAAGAATCTTCCTTTTTCGCGTGTTTACATAATTATGGGACATCTTGTACATTTGTGATTAGCGGACTGCGGATTTTTATGCGAATTCTCGTTGCTCCGAATATTTTTATAAAAATGCAAAGTACACTCTTACATAATATTATTAATGTATTGTTATGTATTATTGCTAAAAAAATATTATTACGATCACGTATAAAAATTAATAACGTATTATCTACGTTATTAATTTTTTTTTTCTTAATACGGATGTTTAATAGCATTTTAAAATGCAAAATAAACATTGCAAAAAAAGAATGCAAAATAAAACGTTCCTTCTTTCCGTGATAATATTAATCGACTGAAAATAATCCATCGACATCGTTCAATTCTTTTAAACTTTTTACCATTTTAAATTGCATCTATCTCAATTTTACGACAAATGCCTAAAAATTCGCGGTTCGCCGATTAGATAATGGATTTAACACGTCTCCCGAATGCGTATAGTACAATGAAACGCGGACGCTAACACGCGCGTCAACCGTGTGAATTACGCGCGATTAGTATGCGTGGAAAATGTGTCTTTGCCACCTGGTCGGCCAACGGCCACCTATCACAATGGAAATTTTCGCTCGGCCGCGTATCTTAGTTAGCAGCGACTTTTACAAGCTGCCAATCGCTCGGCGCGAACCGCTTACAAAGTCTAAACGGAAATTCGTGTCGCGCGAAATGGACGCTTCTCTCTCTCTCGCTCCCTCTCTCTCGCTCTGTCGCTCTCTCTTTCTCTCCCTCGTTCTCTCTCTTTCTCGCTCCCTCTCTCTCGCTCTGTCGCTCTCTCTTTCTCTCCCTCGTTCTCTCTCTTTCTCGCTCTCTCTCGCACTCTTTCGCTCTCTCTCGCTTTCTCCCGCGCTCTCGCTCTCCCTCTCTCCCTCTCTCTCTCTCTCTCTCTCCCTCTCTCTCTCTCTCCCTCTCTCTCTCTCTCTCTCTCTCTCTCCCGCTCTCTGCGTGTCTTTTATGTCATTTTCTTAAACAGCGGACCCGCAAGCTCGAAAAGAATATCGTACGAATGCGTCGCTTTTTGTGCTTCACTCTTTTCTTTTTCTTCCTTTTGTCACGTTGCCGCACGTTGCACGCGGCCAAGTCGTCGTTTCAGCATCGAACCATATACACGCAGCAAGCACGGTGCAATTATTTTTCAAACTGGCACTAAACGACTTGAATATGTTCAATTATTTTTTTTGCAAATGCTGGAGAGGCGCCAGTTTATTGGACAATATTACCAAAATACCTTTTTTTTCAATTTTGCTGTTACTTGTAAAAAATGATATGACAACAAATTGTAGTGCTTTTAAAACTTTAAATTATAAAAAATTCAATTACTCTGAAATGAAAAATTTTTTAAAAACTATCGTTTTTTCTGTGGTTTGTCTGGACCTATAGCGAACATTTAAAAAATGCTTTTGGTGAAGCAAAGATGTGAATAGTGAAGCTACAGCAAGTCGATTTATTAATATTTATTTTATTATTTATTAATTATTATTTATATTTATTATTATTTAGATAAATATATTTATTAATATTTAGATATATAATATTCAGATATAGTATTTATATAATATTTATTAATATTTATATACATATATTTATCAATATTTAGATAAATATATTTATTAATATTTATATACATATATTTATTAATATTCACATACATATATTAATTAATATTTACATAAATATATTTATTAATATTTATATAAACATATTTACTCATTATTACTTATTTATTTATTAATAAATCGACTTGAAAATCAATTAACTTAAAATCCTGCGATCGTTCAAATTTCGCATTCTACTAAAATTTCGTGATTCTCTATGAAATTATTAGCAGATTCACAGCTGCCAATAAATTCCTAAAACATTCCATAAAACCAAAATAATCGAGCCAACTGCAAAATAAAAAAGCGAAAATATTTATTATCGAATCTATCGATACGCGAATATAAAACATCTCCATGCGTTCGCCAGGCATTCTGCGAGCACGAGAACGAGAATTATTTGCCCGTCCGTTGAAAGTTTCCCTGAGCTCTCGGAACATTTTCTCTGTTGTTAAGTCTCGCGAGGGGCGTTCTTTTCGCGTTAAAATTGCAAACCGTTGTAACTTTGATAATAGAACGGCCTTCGTGCAATGCGAAGTTTCCTTGACATGAAAAAGTTGCAGCACCTCTCGTACGAGAACAAGTAGACTTTCGCATAATTTTTCACGTCGACGCGACGATCATCCTGAAGGCTTCGATGCTCGCCGGACGCGTTTCCTTCGTGCAGTGTTGAAAGAAACGAACGAGGCGGAAGCTCGAAGGAACGATTTACGTACCGCGGAAAATCGGTGCATCCCGTGCTTAGCTGCCGGGACCTGCAGGCCTGCAACGAGCTTCAGAATTATCGATCAAATGAGCGTGCAACGTGAACGCACCGCCATGGCAACTGCGGTGCACCCTCCGATAATTTTCCCGTTTCGCACAGGAAACGTGTTCCCGAAAATATTTTGACGGTTCTAGGCCGCGGATTTTCTGCGTTTTTTCTGCGATTTTTCTGCAATTTTTCGGCAATTTTTCGGCGACTTTTCTGCAATTTTTCTGCAATTTTTCGGCGACTTTTCTGCAATTTTTCTGCAATTTTTCGGTGATTTTTCTGCGATTTTCCAGCGATTTTCCGGCGAAAATTCGATTATGAAACAGCAGAGAAATCAAAATAATCGAAGCATTGCATCGTTTTAAACGAATTAAAATTATTAAAAAAAAAAATTAGAAATCGATGAGCGACTCACGTTTCTCGCAACGGACGCGAGATTATTTAATCGAGAATCAAATCGAAAATGATTATAAATGTTAAATTGTGAGTGTCACACCGCGGAACAACATTTAAAAAGAATATAATTTTCGAAGTTATTTTATTTATATTTATCACGTTGTAAGTTCGGCCAGAGTGGCGATCGAAACGCAAGGAAAAGTGAAAATTTATTGGACACCGTTTATCGACAGTGGGGCGTTTTTCTTCCATTAATAGTCATTTGTCAATGTTCCGGTTACGTTTCACTGAATTTTGCGACTCTCGGTGCGAGATCAGAGCCACGTGTCTGACCTGATATCTCGCGAGGCAAGGGGTTGATCAGGAGACAAACGGCTCGGATAAATCGACTCCCGCCGGATAATTGAGACGCGAGGACGAAAACCTAATAATGTAATTTCCGTACCAGTACGGGCATTTCTGTGTCGCGTAAATTCATCCCTCCTTGCAATATAATAATATTGTAGTAGAAAGCAATTTAATGATTTATGTACTAATGATTATGTATACTAATTTATGTACTAGTAATTGTGTACAGTAATTTACGTACTGATCGTTATGTATATTGATCTTCGTACTAATTATTTTGTATACTAATTTATGTACTAATAATTATGTACAGTAATTTACGTACTAATCGTTATGTATATTGATTTTCGTACTAATAATTTTGTATGCTAATTTATGTACACTAATTTATGTACTAATAATTATGTATACCTATTTATGTACTAATAATTATGTATACTTATTCATGTACTAATAATTATGTATACTAATAATGAATACTTATTTATATACTACTAATTATGTGTACTAATAACGTATACTAATTTATATACTAATAATGTATACTAATTTATGTACTAATAATTATGTATGCTAATATATGTACTAATAATTGTATATACTGTGATTTACGGGTTATCGACGAAAAACCGTGAGCAATGAGAGGCGAGCTCGGCCGATGCCCCGCCCTCGGGACTACTGCCGCCGCGTCAGTCGGCCAGCGCGACGCGGCATTGACCACGAGGACGGAGCGCCGACCGAGCTCGCCTCTCATTGGTTAGCGTTTTTCGTTGATAACTCGTAAACGAAGCCTCGTAGAACATTTTCGCAAAGGAAAAAGTTGCTTCGAATCACCTCAGGAACCTGCATTTCCGACTTGCGAGAGATATTTTCAAAATTGGCAAAAAATTATTGTCAAATTATTGTGTCAACGCGTCGAAGAAGTTCTAGCGTTTTCGAAGCGCGCCGATATTTTTCCAACGCACCGATTCGACGACCCAGAACGAGAATTGTCCACCGGAACGTCCAGAGTTACGCGACGTACTCGTCACTCGTCAAACTATCCACGTTTCCGTCGCGATTTTCTTCTGCAACCCGATCCCTCGCGACGATTCAATAGTGTCCAGGGTGCACCATGCCGGCGACGGGGCTTGTTTTCGCCGCGGGGAGTTTCTCCTTGAGAACAATACCGGCTGATTGTGAGTGTGTCTTCTTAAAAAAAAAGAAAAAAAAGAAAAAAACATAAAAGCAAGCCTGGAGATCCCACGCAAACAACTGCCACCGCCCCGCCCACGTTCTCTAGATATTCTTTCTGCCTCCTCTATCGCCGTGCCATCCCCATTCCCAACTCGCGGCATCATGCTTGCGCCCCGAAGCCGTGGAAACTCGGCCGGACGAACAGGTTCGTTACGCTCGAGCGTCGAATTATCGTTAACGCTCGAATCTGGAGCGCGCCGCGCGGTTCCTACGGAACCACGTGGATCGATAGTCGACCGACAGTTTTTTTGCCGAGAATCGTTGTCGGACGACGGTGTTGGGCTCCTTCTCTTTAGCCGATTATGTATGTATGTATGTATGTATGTACTCTGCGCGGATCGTCGAATCCTCCGCGCTTCCTCCATCTTCGTCTCGGCTTCTTCCTTTCTTTCTTTCTTCCTTTCTTTCTTCGCAGGTCGAGGGCGCCCCCGATTACGCATCGAGCGCCATCATTTTTCCGTTCGTCCATACGTTCCCAGCCGGAATTTACGCGAAATTGGACATTTTCTCGCGTTTCACACGTTGTTTAGTTCTCTAATTTCTATTTTATTCTATTCCATTCTATTTTGTTCTATTTTATTCTATTTTATTCTATTTTATTCTATTTTATTCTATATCATTCTATTTTATTCTATTTTATTCTATTTTATTCTATGTTATTCTATCTTATTCTATTTCATTCTATTTCATTCTATTTCATTCTATTTCATTCTATATTATTCTATTTGATTCTATTTCATTCTATTTCATTCTATTTTATCCTATTTTCTTCTATTTTATTCTATTTGATTCTATTTGATTCTATTTAATTCTATTTAATCCTATTTTATTCTATTTTATTCTACTCTATTCTATTTCATTCTATGTTATTCTATGTTGTTATTTTATCTTATTCTATTTTATTCTATCTTATTCTATTTCATTCTATTTCATTCTATATTATTCTGTTTCATTATATTTCATTCTATTTCATTCCATTTCATTCTATTTGATTCTATTTGATTCTATTTGATTCTATTTGATTCTATTTGATTCTATTTAATTCTATTTTATTCTATTTTATTCTATTTTATTCTATGTTATTCTATCTTATTCTATTTCATTCTATTTCATTCTATATTATTCTATTTCATTCTATTTCATTCTATTTCATTCTATTTTATCCTATTTTCTTCTATTTTATTCTATTTGATTCTATTTGATTCTATTTAATTCTATTTAATCCTATTTTATTCTATTTTATTCTACTCTATTCTATTTCATTCTATGTTATTCTATGTTGTTATTTTATCTTATTCTATTTTATTCTATCTTATTCTATTTCATTCTATTTCATTCTATATTATTCTATTTCATTCTATTTTATTCTATCTCATTCTATTTTATCCTATTTTCTTCTATTTTATTCTATTTTATTTTATTTTCATATATCTATATACGATTCGAAGGCAATTCGGAGGCCACGCGCCCCGATTCGAAGGTCACATAACACGATTCAAACGCAATTCGGAAACCACATGCTACAATTCAAAGTGAAACAGTCCATTTCTTATTGTCTTCCAAGAATTCGCGTCGCCTGACCTTGACCGACTCCGTCGACCCTTCTCATCGACGCAGCAATAAATCCCATAACCGTAGCTCTATCACAGAGAAATTCGCAGCAACCCGAAATTTGGCATTTCCGGGAGAAATTACCGTAATATACATTGTCTTCAACGAACCAATGACGTTGCAGGGTGATCTTCTCGGCTACTCCCTATACGATTTCATTCACCCGAGGGACCGCGAGGAGCTCACGAAAAACCTGAAGGTGGAGGACCTCCAAGGGGTGGCCGGCTCGTCGTCGTCGTCGCTGCCGCAGCTTTCGAATGCGGCGAACGAGAACTCGACGTCGTCGGAGGACTCGTCCACGCTGAGACACGAGAGGAATCCTTTCCGCGAGCAGCGCCGGATATTCGAGCTGAGAATGTTGCACCGGACAGCGTCACGCAGGGAGCACACGCAGTACGAATGGTTCGAGCTCTCGGGGATGCTGAAGCTGGCCGAGAGCTGCCGGAACCCCGAGTCCCAGGCGAATCGGGCGAGACATCGAGGTAAGCTCTGTCGTTCTGTCGTTTCGTTTTTAATTGTTCGCCGCGCGAGCATGCATGCGCGTTTTCGCGACCAACGCGGCGACTGCCGCGAAAAGTGCAACGGTCGCGATCTCGTAATCGTTTTCATTGGCTAACGGTTCGCCGCCTTGTATCGTTCACTCACCCCCCACTGTCAACAAGATTAAGGTCTATCTGTTGTGTGACTCAGCGCGGCGTGCACTGTGTCCTTAGGAGAATGTCGCGATCGAAATTGTTTACGGATCCGTCGAGAGAGAGAGGGAGGGAGAGAGAGAGAGAGAGAGAGAGAGAGAGAGAGAGAGAGTCGTTCGCGCGCAAATATCGGTGGTCCCTCGATTGTTACAAAGACGGAACAGAGACGTTTCTAGGGATTATGATAATGATAAAACGAACGTTCTCGTTTTTTTATAATTTGCATGTTTTATATATACATTTATATATTGTTTGTATGTGTACAGCAAATTCTCCCTAATTGACGCTCAGATTTTTGCAAACAAAAGTGGACAATTTAGGAAGGGTAGATAATAATAATTTAACTGTAATGATAATATATAGTAATAATATAAATATATAATAATACATAATAATATGATAATATATATACTATAATAATAGTATATAATAAAATATATACTATAATACAATAATATATAATAATAATATAACTGTAATAAAAGCAGCCTTGCTGTCCGTTTTTATAGTCACCAATTGTCAACAACTATAAAGACGAGCCGCAAGATTATTATTATTACAGTTGTATTATTATTATATTATTATTATAGTATATATTTTATTATATTATTATTATAGTATATATGTTATTATATATTATTATTATAGTACATATATTATCATATTAATATATATTTAAATATATTATTTATATATATATATATATATATATATATATTATTATATTATTATAATATATATATATATATTACTATTTTATAGTAATATTATTATTATCTCCTCTTCCCAAATTGTCCACTGTTGTACGCAATCTGGGGTCAATTAGGGAGAAGGCAATTACAGAGAGAGACAGGAAAATATTCGAAAACCTCTTAAATATTCAACCATTTGCACTGGAACGATGCCTCCGAGACACCGCTGAAATTGTTCTATCACGTTCCAAGAACATTCTTACATCATCGAACTTCAGATTTAAAAGACTGTTAAAACTATAACCGTCGTTACGGTTATAATACGAATCACGAGTATTCGGTTTCATACGCCTAAAATGCAGTTCGTCGTGTAAAATTATCTTAGATTCGCGGTTAAAAAAATAGCTTCGAGTGCAAATGGTTAACAAATACATTTACACTTTTCAAAAGCGTAAAGTTGAAACGTTGCTAGAACTGCAATAACGTTTCTCGAATCGTAGCAAACGAGATCTAACTACGTAGACGATTTTCATATCATATTTCCATATCTGATTTCGAATAAATTATTCCGTCGTGTACATAAATGATTTTATTTTAAAAAAAAAGAGAAAAAAAAAAACAGAAAAATCGTAATAATATCGTCCGCCGTTCCGTCGCATTTATTTTTCACCGTTGCGTAAGTTCCGCCTGCAGCGAGGAATCGAGTTAAAAATACAACAAAAAAGAAAATAACCGCGGACTCTAAAATCTAGTTTGTTTCTTGCGAAACATTCTTTTTTTCCGTTTTCTTACGAAACGATTTTGTTAAATGTCTCCGTCCGAATGCGATACAATGCGCAGCGAGACGCGTTTGCCACGAGGAAGAACCACCGATGCCGCCCCTTCCCCTACCCCTCACCCCGACACGTGTATTTTTCTTGCGACTCTCTCCACGCGGCACGATGACATTATTAATTTCGTCGAACGGCGCTGAATTAAATCGATTCCATCAGCAGAATCTCGCGGACCACTGTTCCCCTTTTATCACGACACCGGGGAACCGGTGAAGTTGGTTCGAACCGGGCTATCGCAAATATTTACCCTAGCTACGCATTTAAATTTAGACCGTTCCCATCGACTGCGAAAGATGTGGGCGTAGTCGCGAGCGTTAACGTCGATCTTTTAATTTCCGTAGCACGGACGAAGATCAACGCCTGGAACTACCGAGTCCTTAACTCGGCCAATCCGTATTGTTTTGTAACTGGGCTGCGGATTTTATGCAATTTCGACGACAACGGCTGGTTTGGGGAGAAAAACTGTAAAGACATTACAGAAGAGTTTAAAAATATTGTTAGAAATAATTTTTATTATAATAATAATATTATAATAATAATTTTTATAAATAATGTTATTGTATGTAATATGTGTAATATGTGTAATATGTTTTTCCTCTTTGAATAATTTCAATAATATATATACATATAGTATATATTGTATATATTATATTTATATATACATATAGTAAAGTATATTAAAAAAGGGAAAATGTAGATATATATAAACATATTACACATATTGCATATTACATATAATAATGTACATACTACATATAACACATATTACATATTGCATACATATATACATACCTTATTAAAATGATTAAAAGAGGAAAAACACACACTGACATTAACAGTTATCTCGGACAATTTTCATTTTGCATAAAAATCCGCAGTCAGGTAACAAGACAGCAATTTAACCTTGACATAACCTGACATAACCTCGATTTTTCTAAATTTCTTGATTTTTCCAAAACCTTCGACAACGTCCACAATCTGATGACTATAGTTGCATAAAATATCTTCGTATTTGCTTGGCGAGGGTAAACCATTTTCTTTTTTTGGTTAAATTTCCACCGTCTCGTCGAGATGTTCCTGCGTAAATAGAAATGCGTTGCATTAAAATGAAGATCGAGACTATACCGAAGTACGTATTTCGTTTGGAAATGGCAGGTATTTAGCGATCGTTTGTAATTTTACAGATATCGGCTCAACGAGCAACGATATTATCTTCGTGGGAGTAGCGCGGCTATTAATGAAGCGATCGATCACAGGGATATCGATCATAGATGCGAACAAGGACGAATACCTCACCCGGCATTTGGTCGACGGCAGAATACTTTACTGCGACCATAGGGTGTCCGTGGTGGCCGGCTACTTGGCTGAGGAAGTCTCCGGCTTGAGCGCCTTCAACTTCATGCACAAAGACGATCTCTGGTGGGCCATGATCGCGCTTCGCCAAAGTGAGTGTTCGTTTCGCGGTTGATCGACCGCTGGCGCCACCGTTCCCCTTTCTAGTCCTCGGAAATCTGCTACGACTTCTTTGTTCTATGATCTGTTTAACGCAAATTTTCATTGTTATTATACAGGGTGTCCCAAAAATGTCTCGCAATCCGAAAGTTGCGGGTTCCTCGGGTAATTTGAAGCAACTTTTTCCTTTACAAAAATTTTCTCCGAGGCACCGTTAACGAGTTATTAACGAAAAACAGAGAGGCCAATGAGAGGCGAGCTCGGCTGGCAATGAGCGGAACTGGGCTTCGTACGCTGGTTGGCTGGGCCGCCTCGCGTCAGCCGTACTCGATTCTTATTGGTCACTGTTTTTCGTTAATAACTCGTTAACGGTGCCTCGGAGAACATTTTTGTAAAGGAAGAAGTTGCTTCAAATGATCCGAGGAACCCGGAAATGATCCGCCATTTCCGGATTGCGAGACATTTTTGGTACACCCTGTAGACAATTTTGAAACAGAAATGTTATTACAGAAATGTTCGTTTAATATGTTGCCCCGACACTCGAAACGTATATTTCCCTTGTTTATAAATTGTTCCCCTAATTGTTCCCTTGTTTGAACGTGGCCTGGATTAACTAATTCGAATTATTATTTTTTGCAGTGTACGTTCGTGCAGAAACGTGCGGATCGTCGTGTTACAGACTACTGTCGAAAACAGGAGAATTTATTTATTTGCGTAGTCACGGGTACTTAGAGCTGGACGAGAACACCCAAACTGTTGTGTCTTTCGTGTGCATAAACACACTAGTATCGTAAGTGCCATTTCCGCGATTGCAATCTCTTGTAGCAGTCGTTGTTCGGAAAGTTCGTAAAATAATCGAGGATGAATTTGCAGTTCACAATTTTTCAGTCGGTGCCTTGATTTCAGTTTATTGCTATGAACTATTAATTGCTACTATTAACTGCTATGAAATTTTTACGGTAAATTCTCCCTAATTGATCCTCAGCTTGGAAACAAGAATGGACAGTTTGGGAAGAGAAGGTACGATTATCGCAATTGTCCATTTTTTTGTACAAGCGGAGGGTCAACTAGGGAGAATTTACTGTATTTTGGTGATTCGTAAATTTTTATTCTCAACGAGTTCTTCTTTCTGATATCTTTTCTGTGCGTGCTGATAAATTCTGTTTGATATACCTGATATACATCAGTTAGTACATTATAATACATTATTGAATTTCAGAGCTTTCCGAACAATTTTTCTACCGTACATGCCTTCATCCATATTGTTCTTACAGAAGGGAAGTAATAATTTTTTTCTTTTTCAGGGAGGAAGAAGGAATGCAACTGGTGCAACAAATGAAGAAACGATTCTCAGCGACGATAACCGAATCCACGTGGGAAATGATCCAAAACCAGGATGACGCCGCGCTTGACATGGTAAAATTTGTAATATTATTTACAATGTTATTTGTAATGTTATAAGGAAATATCACAAGACATAATGGAAAAATCCGGCCGCATGAATTGAATAGTATATCAGCGCTTTGTTAATCTACATCCATGTGATACATTCTACTAAAAACAATGGCTTACTAATTGAAACTGAATTATTTGTTACAGGGTTCAGACTCCCAGCAGAGCTCAAAAAGTAGTGTAGGAGATCCCACGGTGGTTGAAGACGCCATTGCACACCTGGTCAGCGCCTTGTCGTCCTCCGTTTCCGAAATTCGTCTATCAAAGTCTCCTGTTCCCGACGAACAATACGTGAAGGCTGCTATAGTCTCGAAGAACTTACCACCGGTTGCTGCGCAAGCGAGCAAAATTGGCATTAAGTCGATAGATCATCGCTTGATGGTGCAAGGAACAGAAGGTCGTAGCCCTAAACAAGAACCAAAGGCGAGTAATCAGTTGATTCCGCTGAACGAGTCGCAAGATAGTCCTAGGTCGTCAGGAAAATCGATGGCGATCAAAATCAAAGAAGAAGACACGATACCTGAAGAAGTTACCAGCATTATTGCAACAAATGATTCGCCCGTGGATCAATGTATAAACCTTCCGCATAATCCTGGAACATCTCACTTGGACATTACCCCAAGAAGGTACATTCCTCCAGTCGAGGATATTGCAATTTCCGACACGAAGTCGAGTCAATACCCCACCAAAAGGAGGCACAGCGACGAAAACGATAGGATAACTTCCAACAAGAAAAGAGCTCCGTATTTTGATCAGAAATTGTTTGTTAAGGAAGACTATGAAGATTTAGATTCGTTGAATGACCTCATGGGGGGTAACTATTCATGTTACGACGATGACAAGTTTCCCGACCAAGGTACTACAATCTTTTCTTTATTCTCACGTCATAGATTCCTTTATTTCCGGTTATAGTACAAAGTGATTTACCTAACTCTACTACTTTTAATTGTTTGTAGACCATTTGTTATATAATAAAATATTTCAAACCGAAGTTATATGGTGTCAGAAAAAGCTTCGAATGTAATTACATGTAATAATTAGCATTTTTCCAGTTTTGCTTTACTTTTAAGAATTTTTTCAACTTAAATAGTTTATAATGGAATTTTATGTTTTCAGATGCATTAATAATCAGCAGCCAAAAATTATATATATATTTTATTTCATTTAATTCATTGCTTAAAATAATATTTAAAGGATATCAGAATGACTATTATTTTATGAATAACTTTTCAGATTATAGGATCATATTTTATAGATCACATTTAAGAAAAAAGAGTTAATAACAAAACAAGTTTTGTTTCAAACATTTTTTTATATAACAAACCGTTCACAAATTTTTCACTCCTTTGACTGTTTATTGCGCAGTTCATTGTTTATTCAAAGCCGTATTTTTGTTGTTTAAGATTGATAGTGATCACTTGATGAGAGGAAAAAAGAAAGAAACAAGATATTCTTGCCAGAATTGAAACATCAGATTATGCATCTCGTCTGTAAAAACATAAAAGACATAGCATAATTATAAAAAAGACTCTTGTAAAACCTTTCGTTTTCAAAATATATTTTTGTAGGGAGAATACATCATTTTTTTACACTGGCAAAGGTGTTAAGGTGGTACAGTTAGGTGAAATGTTGTTTGAAATTGTATTCAAAATGTTGCTATCAATTTCTTTCTTTTCAATAGGTAATAAACTATTGCCTTGAAGTAGTTCTCTTTTAACAAACCTTTTATTTGGAATTGTTCTAGACCGTATATTAAAGATGATCTTTGGAGGTGACGTTCATTCTAATGGTAGGTACGAGAACAGACATTGAATAACACAGAATTTGATCCGATGGAAAGAGAGTGGACAAGACATGTTCGTTGTTAAAAGGGTTCAAAAAAAAGATTGAATGACACAAATGATTTCAAACGAGTTCCCTGCTTTCCAAAAGATCAGATTCGTTGTTTCAAATTGTACACTGTATGTGAATCAACTAAATTTTCAATTATATCATTGCTCCTCAGGTACGACGGTGCCTCAAATACCAGAGACTGTAAGTATCAAGTAATACAGGGTGTCCCAAAAATGTCTCGCAATCCGGAAATGGCGGGTTCCTCAGATCATTTGAAGCAACTTCTTCCTTTACAAAAATTTTCTCCGAGGCACCGTTAACGAGTTATTAACGAAAAACAGTGACCAATAAGAATCGAGTACGGCTGACGCGAGACGGCCCAGCCAACCAGCGCACGAAGCCCAGTTTCGCTCACCGACTCGGTCGCCTCGCACCAGCTGAGCTCGCCTCTCATTGGTCACTGTTTTTCGTTAATAACTCGTTAATGGTGCCTTGGAGAAGATTTTTGTAAAGGAAAAAGTTGCTTCAAATGACCCGAGGAACCCGCCACTTTTGGATTGCGAGACATTTTTGGGACACCCTGTACA